ATAAAAATTAATTAAAGAAGTATTAAGCATTTTCCCCCCAATTCAATGTTCGCGGGTAATAAAACAAAAATTTTTGTCTTTAGGGAGGGTTTAAAGCGTGTTGCCGTTAATTTCCTTTAAAACAAAAAATATTTAGCTCTATTAGTAAATAATAAATAAATAAATAATTATTTTTTTAATATTAAAAGTAAACGCTGCTGCGCGACGCCGCCGCTGTAGAAGAAGAAGAAAAACGCGTAGAGCGCGAAAAGAAAAGAAAACCCCGCGGCATTTGCTGGACAAGTTTTTTTTGTTTTTAGCAAAATAAATTTTTCTAATAATCATTTTTACATGTTTATTTGTTTGAAGAAAAAAATTGAGAGGAGGAAAAAATTTTTTGGAAGGGAGAAAAGAAGGGAAGGGCTGTTTATTGGAATTTTGGGTGATAATTGGGGGTGTTTTTGGCAAATAAAAAAATAAAAAATATAAAAATAGAAAATAAAAATAAAAAAATACAAATAATTTAAACAAAAATAATTTTAACAAAAATAAAATAATTAATTTTGAAATTAAAAATATTGCCCGTCTAAATATTTATTAAAGATAATTTACGAGTATGTCTCACCTCCACTTAAATTAATGTTTATGCTAAACTTGCTAAAAACAGAGAAACATGAGAAACATGTCAGAGAAACTAAAACATTGTTTTTAAACAAGTTTATAAATGTTTGTGGAAAAACAAAAGTTTTGTTGTAATGTTGGAAACAAAACAGGAAAACATGGAAATTATAAAATTAAAACAAACAAAACTTGTTTAAAAGATGTTTAGATTAAAGTTGCAAGAAAAATGTTTAAAATAAAAATAAACTTGACAACAAAACAAGTTGGAGAAGAAAACAAGTTTAAACAAGAAACATGTTGGCAAACATGTTGGGAAACAAGTTTAAATAAAACTTGAAAAACAAGTTGGAAAAAAAGAACCAGTTGGAAAGCAAGTTTGAAAACAAGTTTAAAAAAACATGTTGGGAAACAAGTTTTAATAAAACTTGACGAACAAGTTGGAAAAACAAAACAAAATGACAAAATGGTAACAAGTTGAAAATTTTGCATTTGGTCACAACAATTTTAAAAAATTAATAAAAACATTTTAAGAAATGTTTTTATCGATTTTACCCCAAAAAGAGTTTAAAAAGAACACAATATTTTCTTTTTAAAATGTTAAAGCTAAAGCGGCAGAATTAAGAAAAAAGCGCGCATTTAGGGTAAATTAATCATGACATTTTTTCCATTATTTTTTTCTTTCTTATTGTCCACCCAATTTTCTTTTTTTTTTTCGTTTGCTTCTCGCGCTTCCCCCTTTTCTTTTTTTTTTTATAATTTTATTTGCAAACAATAAGGAGCGCTCAAGGATTTTTAATAAATTAAAGAGGGGGAATAAATAAAGGATTATTAGAGGGGAAGGGGAGAGGGAGGGGGGGGGGGGAGAGAAGAAAAAAACGAAGTGAAGGATGATTGGGTTTCGACTATGGGGAATTTTATCAAAAATCTTTTTAGGTCTTTTGAATCGAAAATTAAATTTAAAAAAATGTAAAAATTAATAAAAAAAATTTTTTTAAAGCGTAAATTTTAAATAAAAAATTAGGAAAATATGTATATTCAAATTCAGTCACCTCAACGGGAGGAATCGTTTAGTTTTTCGAAGCTCAGGAAGCAGAAAAAAGGGCTGGGTCATCCAAGGCTACCGAAAATGTTTTTACTTATAATTTGTAGAAAATTAAAAAAAAATTTTTTTTGATAATTTTTTGCACCAATATTAATTTGAAAATAAAAAAAATTAAAAATTTTGATTTCTCAAGGTAAGCGACATTTCATCCCAAATTATAATTTTAATTTGTCTTTTAAAAATAAATTTTTTTTAATTTTTTTTTTTTGATTTTGTAAACATAAAGGAACAAAAATTAACAATTTGAAGGCCATATTAATTTAAAAACTGAAGAAAAAAAGGCAACATTTTTGCAAAAAATTGGAAAAAAAATATTAGACAAGCAACATTCTTTAAATCATTTTTTTCTTTATAAAAAGACTTGACATGTTGCAAAAAAATTTTTTGGGTATAAAAAGAGCCTGAATTAGCCTAATAAATTCATTTTAAATTTTTTAAAAAATTTTCCCGGCAAAATAGACCTAAATTAAAAATTTGTACATTTCGTCCCACTGAAGAAAATTGGACATTTCGTCCCACTGAAGAAAATTTGCCATTTTGTCACAAAATTTTTAAAAAATTTTTTCTAGCTGAATTTTTATTTTTTCTTCTTTTTAAGGCTTTTATTAACCAAAAAAATTAATTTTCAGTAAATTATTAAGGAATTAAAATTCAATAATGAAGAGTTATTTATGCCTATTTTTAATACTTTTGTTTGTACTGTGCTTTACTGCCTCAATGCAAGTACCAGCTGCCCATTCCGAGTCTAAATTGTAATTTTAATATATTTTTTTAAATAAATCCAGTCAATTCTAAATGTCGAAAAAGCTGAAAATTTTTTTTAATTTAAAAAAATTCAAAAAAAGTTTAAAAATGTCAAACAGTACAAAAATGGACATTTCGTCACACTGAAGAAATCTTGCCATTTCGTCACTAATATTATCACACTAATTAAAATACCTTCATAACTCTTTTAAAATTTTCCAGTCTCCGTTCAAAACGCTACGGCGGTTTTGGCTATTATGGAGGCTTTGGAGGCTGTGATACTTGTGGAGGAGGCTATTTTGGAGGTTATGCCCCAAGCAATTTTTATGGGGGAGGCTGTGATATGTGCGGAGGGGGTTACCGAAGCTATTATGGATATTTTGGCTGAACAGAAGAATAAATGTTATAAAATATTCCAATAATTATTGTTAAATAATTAATTTTGTTGATAATTTATATTTCGTCATATTGAAGAAAATGGACATTTTGTCCCAAAAAATTTTTAAAAAATTTTTCTGTAGTTAATTTTAATTAAAATTTTGTGGAGATGTTGTCAAAGATGGTTTCTAACACCTCTAAAAATTATAGAATTTTAGGTTACCTATAACAGAAGTTATGATTCTTAATAAGCGAGAGGACGTTCACAACGTGTTAGCGACACTTTTTAAGTTGTAAAATGGTCAGACAAATTGATATAACCTTAAAATTAATTATAAACGTCCCTAATGGTGTTTACTAGTCCCCTTTAAAATTTGAGAATTTTAGGTCCAGTATTTCTGAAGATATGGTCAAAATGCCTGAGGGGATTTTGACCTTATTGGTACCGATACTTTTTATGTTGTAAAATGGTCAGACAGACTGATATAACCTTAAAATTTATCGCAAACACGCCCAAGTGTGTTTACTAGCTCCTCTAAAAATTTGAGAATTTTAGGTCCAGTATTTGTCAAGATATGGTCAAAATGCCTGAGGGCATTTTACCCAAGTTTATACAAGAAAGGGCATTTTTAATTAAAAAATTAGACAAAATTACCAAAAAAAATTTTAATTAAAGCCGGATTTTTGCTACATTTATATAAAATGCATTAATCAAAAAATTAGAGCATTCGGCGATTTTTAATGGAAGGGGAGAAAAAAAAATGCCGACAAGAACATACGCCTTTAATTAATTAATTTAAAAATCTCCCTTATAATTTAATTCGAGAGAAGAAAAGTTTTTGGCATTAGCGAAAAACACACATTTTTTTAATAATCAAATATTCTCTCCTCATATTTTTGTTGCGATAATTTTTAAAAATGTTTTTTATAAATATTTTTATTATTTTTTTAATTAATAAAATTATTGTAAGTTCCCCTTTAAAAATTATTTTTAATTAAAATTTAATTTAATAAAGACTGGACAATTTGAGGATGAATATACAATTAATGCTAGGGCTGGAATTGTTGATAAACTTTTTGACGGGGATATAGATCTACGACCGGAAGAATATTATCAGCTAAAGAGAAGCAAATTTTTTTCTGATCCGGCTGCTAGAAATAATGGTAAAAATAGGGATTTAAATGACAAAACGGTAATACACAAAACGTCAATAGTCAAAATGGTAAAAATTTGAAACGCCCAAAATTCAAAATGTCAAAACTCAAAAGGTCCAGAACACAAAATGTTAAAAGTCCGGAACGTCCAAAAATACGCCCCCAAAAAATTTGGCTCTATTGTAGTTTATGAGTCCAATCGCACAAAATGCTCAAAATGGTCAACGTAAACCTATTGAATTCATAAAGCGTGATTGGACTCATAAACTGCAGTAGAGCCTATATAATTCTTAAATATTTCCCTTCAGCTCTGTTCACCAACTGGGAAACAGATGAAAAGTATCATTGGCCACACCAGCCTTCAACGACGCCAGGCGTTCGTTTTGGCCCTTTAATTAACTACACGTTGGATTGGGAAAAAATAGTAGAGCCTCCTTCTTGTTTGTTTTCCTTTAGTTTTTTTTTGTAAAAAATTTTAATTTCAAAAGTTGTTTGGCTTAAAAATATTTTGGATGCCCACAAAAATATAGAAGAAAATACATGCATTAGATTTGCAAATTCGAGTGAAGGGGATCATATACATTACTATTGGGGGTATGGGTGCCATTCACTTGTGGGGAGGAATGGAGGAAAGCAGTGGCTATCTCTTGGACCCGGCTGTTGGACGGTGAGTGACATTTTGTCGTCTACTTTGAAGGTGACATTTGGTCCCATAGTCGGAAAATGACATTTGGTCGTTTACTTCGAAGGATGACATTTGGTCCCATAGCCGGAAAACGACATTCGGTCCTTAGTGGGGGAAGTGACATTTGGTCCCATAACTGGAAAGTGACATTTGGTCCCCGAGTCGGAAAGTGATATTTGGTCCCATAAATGGATATTGGCTGGGGAAAACCAAACTTCTTAAAAAAATAATATTTAAAAGGTAAATGCAGTCCACGAAACACTCCATGCATTAGGGTCTAATCATGAACAAAGCAGACAGGACCGTGACACTTTTATAAAAATTAACGAGGAAAATATGATTGAAGTAAATTAAATTCTTCTATTTTTTTAAAAATCCCCCATCCACTTTAGAATATTTCTGATGCTTTTGCGATTATTGCTGGGTCCCCTACTGGTCAGATTTTTAATTTTGTATTTAAAAATTTTCTAAAATTTAAGGAAATCCTTACGATTTTGGTTCGTGTATGCATTATTCTAATGGGGCATTTTCTAAAAACAACAAATATTTTTTTTAATTTTAGGCTCTACAATGCATTATAATAATATGGCATTCTCGAAAAATAAAAAGTATATTTTCTTATAGTTCAAAAAATTCATAACGTCCAAACTTTCAAAAAATTTAAAACCGCCAAAAATCCTTTAAATCGTCGCAACCCCAAAAACATTCAAAACGTCGCAGCCACAAAAATCATTCAAAACGTCGCAACCCCAGAGACCTTTCAAAACATTGCAACCCCAAAATTGTTCAAAACGTCGCAACCCCAAAAAATTTTCAAAACGTCGCAACCCCAAAAATCATTCAAAACGTCACACCCCCAGAAATCTTTCAAAACATCGCAACCCCAAAAAATATTTCAAAACGTCGCAACCCCCTAAATCGTTCAAAACATCCAACCCAAATTAGTTCAAATTTATCAGACCCACAATTGAGACACTTGACAAGAACTATCAGCACACTATTGGCTATAGACTTAAACTCTCATTTCTCGACACAAAAGCATTAAATCATCGTTATTGTGATCGTTAGCGAATTAATTTATATTTAAAAAACCCCCAAATTTTAAAGATATTTGTGATGACTCGACTTGGATAACTCCAGACTGCAGAAATAATGGTTACCCTAACCCGAATAAATGTTCAGAATGTTTATGCCCTGAGGCAAAATTTAAAAAATAAAAAAATTTTTTTTTGATAATTAAAGGGGTATGCTGCTCCTTATTGTGACCATGTAGAAAAGGGCCGGATGGAGGGGGAAGGTAAAAATTTGAAGGAGATTAGGTCAAATAATAGTTGGAAATTGGAAGGGGCACTCCTAGAAAATAATTTAGTTCACCCTCGGAAACAAGGATCCCAATTTTGACATTGACATCTCGAAATTTGACATTTCGACATTGACATTTCGACATATGACTTTTAAGTCAAAATTAATGTCATACTTACAATTAGACCCACTAAGACCCCAGAATACCGATTTTCATAATTTTAGGAAAAAGAACAGAAGTTGACCCAAATGAGCCTTTTCCCGAATTAAATTAATTAAAAAATTTTTTCATTCTAGGAAAAAATCCATTATATGCAGAATGCCCAGGAGAACCAAATATTCTATTAACCCCAGACACTCCAGAAATGGAAGAAATTCGCTGGTTCAATGCAAGCAAATTTACTTGTTATTGGAGAATCCAAGCCCCAGCTGACCACTATATTGGGGTTAATTTAACAAAAATGGAAGGGTTCAAGTGTGAACAATCTTGCTATAGTTTTGTAGAGATTAAATATGGAAATATGGCTAATTCGGGTAATTTAAAGAAATTTTCTTAGTTCATAACGTCCAACACACTCAAGTGACCCCAACCCCTTAAAGCACCCCCTACCTTCTCAAAATGTCATAAACACCAAAATTCTCAAAATGTCCAGTGTCAAAAATGCCCAATTGTTTAAAACACCCCAAACATTCAAAAAATCCCTAACAAATAAGTCCCACAAAAATCACTTCCTTAACTGTTTTTAACCCCCTAAAGAGCTCAAAACGTCCAAATATTACAAAACACCTAACTTCAAAACCCCCCAATTTCAGGCCCACGTTTCTGCTGTGATCTACCTACAGAAACATTATATACAGAAGTAGTCGGACACGAAGTAATAATAATAACACATGGATATAAACCTGGAAATTATTCAGTTAATTTAAGCTACAGTATTACTAAATAGTTGAGGGAGATTTTAAAAAATTTATTTTTTGAATAAAATTTTGATTTTTTTGGCATTTAGTTATTTTGAAAAAAAAATTGTTGAATTAAAAAATTAATGAAAGAATATGGTAGCATATTTCAAAAATTATTTCTGACCGAACTGAGCCTTTGACCCAAATGAATTTTGACCCAAACGACTTCTGACCGAAATGAAATTAAATCCAGATCAAGGAAATAATTTAAAAATGAAAAATCAGAATTAAAAAAATTGGTTAAAAAAATATGAGAACACAGCTGATTGTGTTCTCTTAAATCGATTTTCCATGGGTTATAGAAGGAGTAGAGGTAAATGAGCGGACAAAAAACAGCACTAATAGTAGTGTAAGCTAGACTAAATCAATTAAAAAATTAAATTTCCCCTTAATATTCAAAAATATTTTTATTCCCTTAAAATGAGACTTTGGATAGCTTCATTATTTTTTTACATTTATATTTTTATATTTTGTGAATTACTTCGTTTAATAATTAAAAAATTGTTTGAAAATGAAGGGGATAAGGAGGAAAAACACCAAAAGTGTTCTTCACATCAGTTATATGCACTTATAGCCTATGAGGTAGGGTGAAAAAAAAATTTTTTTAAGTCTAAAAAATTTTTTAAGTCTAAAAAATTTTTATTTGACATTTTTTACCAAAAAAACTAAATTCCTAGCAAAATAAAAAATTTTTCCTCTCAATGAGATTCGAACCCACGACCCCATTTTAACTAATCCCAAATCACTACCAACTTCACCACGAGTTATTATACCTGAAAAGTTTATTTATTTGCTTAAATTAAAATAATTAAATTAACCCAGAAAAGGGGGAAAACGGAAAAATTAAAAAAATTACCCTTAAAACTAAGAAAAAAATTTCTAAAAAATTTCCAAAAACTTTTTAAACAATAATATAATAAATATATATTTTTCAAATAAAATATATAATAATTAACTATTTTTTGAGGTGTCTAATAAATAATAAATGAGAAAAAAATCACAAGGGTAAAATTAAATATTTTTAAGAGTACAGTAGAGTCTCAAGATTATTTTTAATTTTTAAGGAAATTGAGCTGGTGTTGGGATAACTCGAAAAAAAAATTTTTAAGTAGATAATATTTTTATTAATAGTCGAAATAAGTAGGGAGATTTTTGAGGGAAAAGTGAGAGAGCCCTGAACGAGGAAGGAGGGAAGAGGGAGGGAAGAAGGAAGAGGGAGGGGGGAGAAGACTCTAATATACTAACAAAAAAATAAATTTTTTGGCCTATAATTTTGGTGTTGGAAATTAAAAAAAACTTTTTTTTGTTAATAAAAATATACCTCTATTCTTCTACTAGTAAAATAATAATATTCTTCTCTTTTATGGCACACAACCACCTTTTTGATTTTTGTGATTTTTTGTCTATCCAGTTTTTTGTTTATTTGTCTCTTTCTTTGGTTGTTTATTTGAATTTGTTTGAGCAGTGGAATTTGAATTCTAATTTTTTTTTTTGATTTTTTTTTTAATTAAAAAAAATTTTTTTGCCCAATATTTGAGTAGAGGAACCTCTCACACTCTAAAATCTACAACTTTTGAATAGGCGAACCTTTATAGATGAGGGTGATATCATTCAATAGAGCACAAAATTAGCTACTAAAAACACCCAAAAGTTGAATTTTATGTTAAAGGGGAAAAATAGTAAATGTCAAAAAATCACCTCAAGTAAGGTTTCACGGTTAAATAAAGTTTAAATGTTTGTCCACAACTTTTTTTAAATTTAATTTAAAAGAATTTTTTGAAAATTTTTTTGTAGCCAATTCAATGCTCTATCCAATGGTACCAAAAAAAATCGGATAAAAATAATTTTTTCAAGTGGGAGGGTCAGATGACATTTGATCCCATTCCTTTTTGGGTGTCTTTAAAAAATTGTTAAAAAAAACCTCTTTCTCTATAGACTTTAGCTTCTCTTCAGGAATATATCCCAACCGCATTCTAAATTGTTCGAAGAAGACAAAAAGCTGGAAAAATTTTTTTAATTTTTAAAAGTAAGTTTTTAAAGAAAACCAAAATTGTGTGTGGAGCAAGTCTAACCCACGCAGGGAAGAAGCCTTTAAAGAATCCAAGCGGCCCCAATTTTGCTGTATACAAAAAGCAATCCAATAAACCTTTAAATTGACCAGGTGGTGCATTCATTAAACGCGTTTTCAATACCTAAAAAAAAATTTTTATTTTATGAACCTTGGTGCTGAAAAAGGTCGTAACCTTATAATTAACAAGAAAAGGTTACGAGGTATATCTTGGCCAGATCAGAAAACGGGCAAAAAAGGTACAAAATTCTTGCTAGAAAGGGCACATTCTCTATTGAATGAGCCAGGTCTCGACCGTTTTTAAGTCGGACACCTCGCGACCTTTCCTTGTACGTGTATTTTAAATGGTTAGCTTAACCTCAGTTTAGTCTTCCTCCTCTAACATTAGCCCCTCTACTCAATAGCTAACCAAGTTTTAAAAAATGGCGGATAGCTTTCACCCCAGTGGAAATTTTGGAGCACCTTATAGGTTCGACCTTATAATTAAATTTAAACAAACATCCATAGGTTGAGTAAGAACAGTCGCACCAGAAGCCGCTAGGAAAGAAGAAAACAAATGGGTGTAGATATTGTCTTTTGCCAAATTTGCTTTTATTAGCATCTAAAAATGGAGGAAAAAATAATTTTCAGATAAAAAAAATTTTTTGCCACAAAAATCTGTAAGCAAAAACCTGTTTAATTTGATCATAAAAAGACAATTGCCCAATAGTCATTAAAATAGCTCTTCCAGTTGCCATTGTACACCCATTGAAAAGTTTAGCGACGCCTTCTTCCTTGAAAAAATTTATTTTAAATTTTGACTAGATAGTGGAAAAACAAAATTAGGACTCATTGTCAAATACTAGATGATCTGTTTGGGTTACCATTAATTCTGAACGAAAGGGAGGCAACATTCGATTAAAGGCTTGTATTTTACCCTAAAGTATATGTTCACTATAGCCTTTCAAGAAATTTTTAGGTAAACAAAAAAAGAGGTTTCTGAGGGTGTCTTGAAAAGGTTTCGCAACCTTCCCTAGTAAGCCTCGCAACCTTCCCTAGTAAGGCATGTATTTTACCCCACAGCATACGCTCACTATAGCCTTTTAAGACATTTTTAGGTAATCAAAAAAAAAGTTTCTGAAAGGTACCTAGAAAAAGGGCCAAAAAAGGTTCAGAAAATTGTTTCAAAAAATTTTATTTAAAAAAACCTTGCTCATTCTAATAATCCCATCAATCGCATTTTTATAATTCCTTCTCTGGTTGGCAGGCAATTTAATATCGTTCTGCATCCTAACGTTAATTAAATCGGCTGGGGAACCGGCAACACCTCCAACAGCTCCTAAAAATATTTTTTTGAAAATTTGTAAAAAATTATTTTTCGATGACATTTTGTCCCAAAATTTCCAAAATTCAATAAAAAAACCTGCAGCCCCAGCCAAAGCCATTTTCTGAATAAAAGACAAATTTCCTTCAGAATACTGCATTTTAACTGTTTCATAGACTGCAAAACGAGTAGTTGTGTACGTTAACTGACGTAATAGTGAAGCGGACAAGCCATTGTAGAAGCTGAGAAAAGTGGGGGAAAAAGTAGTTTTTGAGGTGGAAAATTTTTGGAATTTTTTTGAAAAAATTTAAAAAAATTTTCTGGATGACATTTTGTCCCAAAAATTTTTTTCGAAAAATAAAAAATTTTTTTTTAGAAAAATTATTCACACCCTAACAATCCGTCAGATTTGTATATTTTTTTGCACGTCTGTGGAAGTGAAAGTTTTCCTTCTTGTTGTGTTTGTAAGTGTACTTTAAGCAAATCTAAGGGGTGTGTGAAACCTAGAAAAATAAAAAATTTAAAAATCAGAATGCCAAGAAAATTTTTTCAGAATTTTTTCGATGACATTTTGTCCCAAAATAATTTTTTAAGAAAGAAAATAAATTAAATAAAATTTACATGCAGCACAGCATCCAGCGAGACCGCCAAAGTACCATCTTCCCACTCTTCTGTTATCCGCTGTTAGCATTTTTGGGGAGTTAATTATTTGAGAAATAAGTGAAGAAAATAGTTTGAAGCTTATTTGAAGCTTATTTTCTGAATTTTAATTTTTAAAAAAATTTAAAAATTAGAAGAGAAAAAAAAATTTTTTTCAACTAAAAGAAAAATAAACAGAATGCCAAAAAAATATTTTTTTAATGGAAATTATTTTTTTTGAAAAATTTTTAAGAAGAAAAAAAGTAAAAAAAATTTTTTTTTAACAGTTTTTATGAAAAATGAGAAGAAAAAATCACCAGATTTATATAAGTATATGCAAATATGCAAAGATAAAATATTTTATTTAATATTTGCACACCCATAATATTTTAAAATAGATAACGTTCGTTATAAATGTTGTTGTTAAATGTTTTGAGAGGTTAATTAAACAATTAAACATGTTTTGGAACAAAACTAAAAATCAGAATAAAATTAAAACATTGTTCAGAAAAATGTTTAGAAGAAAATTAAAATCAGAAAATGTTTGGAACGAAATAAAAGCAAAACAATGTTCAGAACAAAATATAAACAAAACAGCTAGAACAAGCCAGAAAATGTTCAGAATAAAATCAGAATTAAATCTAAACATTGTTCAGAAAAATGTTTGAGAATAAATAGAATAAAATCAGAATAAGTTCAAAACAAAATCAGAATTATTTTAAAACATTGTGAGAAAAATGTTCAGAAGTAAAACAAAATCAGAATTAAATCTAAACATTGTTCAGAAAATGTTCAGATGAAGTAAAATAAAATCAGAACAACATTGCTAAAAATGTTTCAGAATAAAAAGAATAAAATCAGAATAAGTTCAAAACAAATTAAAACAAAACCAGAATTTGTTCAAAACAAGACCAGAATTTGTTCAAAACAAGACCAGAATTTGTTTAAAACAAAATCAGAATTAAATTAAAACATGGTCTGACAAACAAGCTAAAATTCCAAACTATTTATATAAGGAAGATTTAATAATTAGATAGCATAAATAAACAAATAATTAACTACATGTGATCTCTAAAATAAAAGTAGTAAAATTGATCGTTAAAAGGGAGACACTTTAATAGATTATTTAAATAAAGGGAATGATTAATGTTTGTGTTTTATTAAACAAACATTTGACGATTTTAGAAGCGCAGACGAGGGTTGGGGAGATTTTTAGATTAAATAAATTTGTGGACTTTGGACTTTTGACCATTCTATTTGTGGGTATGGGAAAGTAATTGTTTGTTGTTCGTGATTTTTTATGGTGAAAAAAATGATTAATAAAAATCAGTGTTGTTTAAAGTAACGGGGGAAGGGGGCTATGGGGAAACCCCTTTATTTATAGATAGGAGCAAAGTCCAAAATCCGAGGAGAATATGATGAGGGACTTGTGAGGATGTTCTGGTAGTGTTCTGATTTAATTCTGATTTCATTCTGATTTTATTTTGCGTATATTCTGTTTTTTTCTGGTCCTATTCTGATTTTTCTGAGTTTGTTCTGATCTTATTCTGATTTTATTCTGATTTATTTTCTGGTTTTGTTCTGATTTTTCTGAGTTTGTTCTGATTTTTTTCTAGTTCTGTTCTGATTTTTCTGATTCTGTTCTGATATCAATAAAACATAAAATAAATTTCTCAAATTTAAAATTCTTTTCTAGTTTATTGGAACTCTACAACTATGCGCTCCTATGTTCGACGTAAACTTTGTAATGGATAACTACGGGTTGAGCGGTGTATTTTTGGAAATTTGCTTTATAGAATTTGTTAATTCCTTTTTGTTGCGAAGAGCACATGCTGATCCCTGCTCTCTAGCAAGTTTTAATTAAATTCTGATTAATGTTCAAATTTTATTCTGATCTTGTTTTTATTTAATTCTGATAATATTCCTATGTTTTTCTGATATTATTCTGGTTTTATTCTGATTTTATTCTGATAATTTTCTAATTTATTCTGGTTTTATTCCGATGTTTTTTCTGATATTATTCTGGTTTTATTCTGATTTTACATATTCTGTTTTTAACACTTATTCCATGTTTTAATTAAATTCTGATTTCTTTTCAGTTTTATAGCTACATAAATGGCCAACATTCCTCACGCATAGCTTCACTTTTATTGTTAACACAATTTGCTGCAGGTATTTTACAATTGTAATTAATTTAAAAATACAATTACAAAAAGGCTATTTCTCTTATTTTGTTTCCAAAACATTTTATTCTTTTGGCCTTCATTTTAAACACCTTGAAGCACTTGAAGACAACTGCAGTTCTGATTTGACGGTTTTCTTAAGAGAAAAGTCCCTCAAAAATTTTTTTAAAGGTAGCCATTATTTATGGCTCTGTCGTTGAAGCAATTGGACTGCTAGGGTGTAAAATAGCTGAACATTTTATTGATGAGACTTTAATTGATGAAAAGTATGTTACAACTGTGCTTTCAGCAATTTCTGGTTTAATAACTATTTTGGGTATGTTTTTAGATAGTGAATAAAAATCAGAACATGAACAAAACATATTAAACTTTAAATGAAAAAGATCAGAATTTGATTAAAACATGATCAGAATAACATTATAAGAAAACAAAAAAATCAGAACATAAACAAAACATGTTAAATAAAAATCAGAACAAGTTTCTAACTGACCAGAAAAAAAATCAGAACACGGTCAAAACATGTCAGATAAAAGATCAGAACAAGTTAAAAATGACCAGAAAAATTAGAACATGAGCAAAACATATCAGATAAAAAATCAGAACAAGTTTATAAATGACGAGAAAAAATCAGAACACGATCTAAACATGTCAGAGAACGATCAAAACACATAAGAACAAATTGAGAAACAAACAAAATATACAATCAGAATATTTACAAAACATAAAAGAAAAAATCAGAATATAAAGAGTAAAAACAGAATAAAATCCGAACACGAACAAAACATTTATCAGAACAAAATTCGAACATTATTTTTCAATTTATTTAAAGGGATTAATTTAACCGGAATGTATGCCAATCCAATAGTAGCCTGGGCACTTACATTTAATTGTGGAGAGGTTTTAAACTTTATTTTTAAAAATTTCAAATTTTTTAAGGTAACACACTTTGCCCATTTTGTCGTCTATTGGCTTGCCCCGTTGTTTGCCTTTTTCCTCTCCAAATGGCTTTTGTAGAAGACCAAAGCCGCACAAATGTCCACTATTTTTGCCTGCGATGCTCTGCTGGGGCAAACGAGGAGAAAAAATTTTTTCTATTGATCTTAAAATATACTAGCCAATCTTCCCCATAATTTCCCCCCATTTTCCCAGCATTTTCAAACATTTACTATCCACCTAGCAATCTTTTACTACCCTCATATTAATATGTAGCATTAAATATTTTCAAATAAAAAAGTAATTTAGGGGCAAAAATAAACTACCTATTTTGCCTTATTCTTCGTTTTTTTAAAGTTAGGGGTAATTGTTCAGTTAAGTTAAGCTTCATGAGAAATGGGCGTTATAATTTTGATATATAAATATAGAAGAAAAAGAATATTTTAAACATAACAGCATCTTCTAGTTAAACTAAACGAGGTCTCTGGACCAACGATACTTCTGACAAACTGTATATTGACGAAATGGGTTTTGACCCAAATACCAAAAAATAAACATAAACTCAAATGTCGCCTCGAACATTTGTTTTTGTGTTTTTGTTTTAATTTAATTTTGATTTTTTTAAACAAATTCTGATTTTTTGACAAACATACTTTTGACATGTTCAAATTTAATTCTGATTTAAATTAAGTTTTTGTTTTAATTTAATTCTGATTAATATTTATTGTGTTGTTTTTAATTGTTTTTTTATAAATAATTCTGATACCGATTAATTCTGATTTTTTTTAAAAACAAATTTTGATTTTCTGACAAACATAATTTTGACATGTTCAAATTTAATTCTGATTTTTTTAAAACATTTAAATTTATCTAGTTTCTTCTTGTTCTAATTTAATTCTGATTGTGTCATTATTATTTAATAATGTCTGAAGAATCAATTGTTAGCACAGAAAATGGAGTCGTCGAGGCTGAAGAAAATATTCAGGAGCCGGGTATTAAATTTAGAAAAAAAATTTTTAAATTAAATTTTTTAATATTCTAGCTTTGTATAATTATGTTTTGACTGAGGAACAAAAACAACGAAAAATTAAATGCGTCACGTGGGATGATAAAGTTGTTGAGGTTAATTTGAATAAATATTTTTTTTGTTAAATTAAGGGTTTTTGAATGAAAAATAATTTTTTCAATTTAAAAATTTTTGGTTCCTTTCCATTAAACGCTTCCAAATTCTTTGGCTTTGCTTTGGTCAGTGGGGAGTTCTAAAGCCTTTCGCTTTAACTGTTTCCTACGGCTTCCTTTGACGGCTTCTTTCGGTTCGTCTTCTCGGTCCAAGGCGAATGGTATCACTCGGGATGATTGGAAATGCCTCTAAGAAAAAGATACAAACCCTCAAAAATTATAAACACCTATAGGGTAACCCGGACATTTTTGGGGTCAAAAATTCTGAACAAAATTGTAACCAATTGTATCCTCACTTGAAATAATTTGAGGGTGTGTGATCGGGGTATTATACTATAACGCGGACTGGGAGAGGGGATTAGAATAATACCTATTATCGGAACGTAGCGAAAATTTTTGGAAAAGACTGGGAGAGGAACCGAGGAAAAATTTTTTTGTTACAAATTTCTAATTAAAAATTAAAAAAAAATTTCTATTTTCAAATTAAAGGTTGAATGGCATCTGATGATGCAATGTGGAGCTTTTGTCCTGCTTTGGTTTACTTTATTTTTTTTTAAATTCACAAATTTAAACTAAATTTTAGGGAAAGTTTAAATTTGGAAGATTCTGTGAATTCTGACGCTTTGGACTGTTTCCATTTCCCACTCAATGAAATTACCGAAGAGTGCTTTGTTAAAGTTGTTGAGTGGCTCCGTAATCATCAAGGTTTTTAATTTTTGGAAATAATTAAATTGAACTTATGGGAATTTTGCATAAATCGGCAAACCTGGAGAATAGGTGTTTTTTCGAAAAAAATTCAGAAATAAACACGCGTCTCGCGGAGACACCGGTCGCTGGGTTCTGCACTAGTAACATAAACATATTCCTTTTTACTGATTTTCCTACCCTACGTCGCATTAAAAACATTTTTCAAACGGCGCGCCGCAAATTTTCATATTCAAATTCAAGGGCGTAGTCAAGGGGGGGGCGCTTCTGGGGCTAAAGCCCCCCCCCCTCCCCCCCCCCCGAAATCGACCCTCTGGCTACGCCCTTGTTCAAATTTGCGTACCCGAACTTTGCAGCTCGAAATTATTAGGAAAATATATATTCTAAGGAAGGAAAAATAAATGTAAAAAATCCTGGTGCCCCCACTTGCGTATGGGGCCCGAAATGTTTAAACAAATAATTCGAGTTCTGAATTTGGCTTTTCAAAATCTGAGCTCATATTCGTACTTAGCCCATTTTTTACCCTAGAAAAATCCTTTTATTTTTAAACCTGATTGATGGGCAAGAAGGGAAACGTGGAGAGGTAAAAAATGTTGCTTAAGCTAACAAGTTCCGTTAAATTTTTGAAAAATTTTAATTATTAAGATTAATAATTTTCATTATTTTTAGGCCAGGGACCAATTGAAATTAAGTATGACCATATAACTGGCGAGGTAATAAATATTTAAATAATCGTAATAATAAAAAATAATCGTGTCCCCATTTTCCTTTCTATTTTTCACTTTTTATGGTAAACTATTATTCGAATGAGTTTTTTGAAGCTAACAATTGAACATCGACTTCCTGTAAAAACTTAAAAAACAAACAAGTAAAAGTGTCGTTTGTGCTTCCTCGTTTGTCATATTTTTCCATTTACCTCGATAAAAGAAATAAATTTTAAGCAATCGAGTAAGCTGACTCTAAAAAAATAAAATCTTACCTCATATTCGAACTCAGCTCACTTAATTACCTATGTTAAACTTCAAAAATATCTAAAATAGATCGGAGATGGAAAAACGAGAAAAAAGGAGAAACACAAATGGCACTTTTATCAAGAAAGAAATTATTTAAATAAAATTAATAAAATTTAATTAGATTTTTCAGCGCAAATGGTTCCATTTGACTGATTGGGAGAAAAATTTTTTTGAAATTGATTTCGAGTTTTTGAAGGAAATTTATTTGGCCTCCAATTTTTTGGACATCAAATCTTTGTATTATTATTGTGAGTTTTGTGTTTAAATTTATTTAAAAAAATTTTTTTTCATTTAAAGGTGCTCAAGAGGCTGCAAGGGTTATTATGGATAAGTCTGCTGCAGAAATTCGTGAGCTTTTGTGCTTACCAGACGTGAGAAAATTTTTTTTATTTTTTTGTTTAAATTTTGAAATTTGAAATAAAATTTGAAATTAGAATTCAAATTATTTTTCGATACCATGGCCCTTTCCGGCAAAAATTAAGACTCAAATGGACCCTTTCCGGAAAAGAGTCCTTTTTATTTCTTTAACCTAATTCTTTAACTAAAAAGTTATTTTGTAGGATTTAACTGAAGCAGAAAAGCAAGAAATAGCAAGGCAGTATGAGTACCGCGAAAGTCCGCCACCTGCCCCGGTGGCAGACTCTCGCGGTATGGAGATGGACGAGCACGATTTGGTTGGCACCTCGTCTTCTTTTATTCCGCAAAGCTCGTCAACCTCAAATGTTGTTTATGCGGATGTGTCTGCTGATAAGAAAGAGGTGAATGTTAATTTGGATGGACCCGGAAGTAGTGGGTCCTCTTAAATTAATTTAATTGTTAATTTATTTTTGGGGACTTTTATTTATTTTTATGCCACACCCCTTTGGATTTAGGAAAAAAAATTGTGAAATGGGAAAATGAATTTTAAGGAGTTCTGTGACCCCTTTTTGTCTTAAGGAATAGAAAAAGGGAACTTATATACTTTAACTACCTACCCCAAAATTTTGTCGGGGGATTTTAGAGGTTTATGTTACTTGTGTAGAACCCAGCGACCGTTGACTTCCTGTGAGTGTAAGGCGCATGCTCCTCGCCGACTTCCCGTAGGTTTACGTTGACCATTTTGAACCCATTTGTCTTAGCTCAGATTTGAGACCGCGCGGTGGTAAAGTTTTATTTGGTACTTGGAAAATGACATTAGGAGAGTTGTGGAAGGTTAAGAGTGTCGTTAGATTTTAACTGCCTGTTGTTGTTCTTCTCGAAATCAAAGAAAAATTAGAGGGGTGTGGTATAAAGGGAAATAAAAGTACTCGAGACCGGATTGGGAGTGTCGTACGAAAATCGAGATCGATATCTTTTAAAAAATCTCAACTTAATAAACTTGATTTTTGTTCGATATCTCGTCTCGGTTCGATCTCTAATAAAATATTTGTAGCTTATTTTTAAAAAATCTCTTGTTTTTCATATTTAAAATTGTTTGGTAATTGATAATTTTTTTGAATAAAATTTAAGTTATTTTTTGATGTTATAAATTAATAAGGAAAATATGTTTAAATTTGTTTAAATTTAAAAAATTTCAATAAAATATTTAACAAATGCACAAAACAAAAAATTATAATTAATGTAAAAATAAAGAATATAAACGTCAAAAATGTGTGTAGTACATAGGGGACACGCTCAAATAGGCGCGCGGCTATAACGGTGGAAAAGGTGACTTGCCGGAAAATTTCTGGTCCTTATCAATTCTGGTACCAATCTCTTTAGCTCGATAAAAGGAATCGTTTAATACTAGATTTGGTGAGATTGGGAAATCTTGAAGCAAGTTATGGCTTTGCGCCGTTCTGGCCGCGCGCCTATTTGGGTGCATCAGCATATTTTCCGGAAAGCCTATTACTATTGTGTTGTTTCCTGCTTTTAATTATTTTCCGGAATGTGTATTTTTTGTATTTTCGTTAAAAACACATCCATTTTCAGCCACTACATTTAAGACGAATTTCGTTGTAAAATTATGAAAATACAAATTAAGGTGCAAAAATATTTTTGTAGTGTGTTGGGGAAGGGAATTTGTGCAGTGAGACCATTATGTATATTATTTAAATATATTTTAATTATTGCCTAAAATCCTTTAGAAAATTGTGGAAGAGTAGTGAAATGTTTGCATTTGAATGTTTTTCCGGAAATATTTTCCGGAATCTGATTTTTCCGTTTCAGTCATTACTCTTCACATTATAGAAATACACCGACTTCACTAGAACATATTTTAAGGGCCACTTGTGCTGAAAAAACATAAAAAAACCGCTGGGGTATCCCCCATATATCTCCCCTCAGTATCTATGTACATACATATCTATATTGGAGTTATGTTATAGTGAGTCTTTAAATAAATTTAAATTATCCATGAAATAAACAAAAAAAATGAGGCAAAGGCACCAAAAATATTAGAAAAATTTATTTTTTAAAAGAATTAGGAAGGCGATGGCACTTTGATATAAAATTCTCTTCGATTTGAAGAGAATAAAAAATAATTATATAAAAAAATAATTTTTGAATTAAAGGCAAAATATAAATAAAAATTAAAATTCAAAAATGTAAGTGCGGTGAAAATAAGGCTTTGAGTAATTAAAATATTTAAGAGAATATGAAAGGGAATGTGAGGAATTTTTTTAGTTTAAAAAATTAAATTTTTGAAAATTAACTATTAAAAATACTAATAATATAGGAATGATTAATTAATTATTTGACGAAATGGCTAGTTGATTTTTTTCCGGAAAGAAATACTTTACAGGTGTTTTCCGGAAAAAACACAAATTCTACATATTACTAGTTTGCCCACAAGTGTTTTCCGGAAAAAACACAAATTCTCAGAATTAATTTATTACCTATGTATTTTCCGGAAAATACATTATATTCTGATTAATTCGTTTCCGGAAAGAAAATACATTCTATTAGTTTTTCCACTTGTGTTTTCCGGAAACATGTGTTTTTCCACTTGTGTTTTTCTGATTAGGTATATCTTGTTCTCTGCCTCTAAGTATGTATTTTCCGGAAAAATACTAAACCCTTCCATTTCGTCATTACAATAGTAAGTGTGCAATAATAAAAATAAATATAAAAAATAGAAAGAAATATAAATTAGAGTTCTTAATATGTTTAATAGATAAAATTAATTATTTAAATAATTGCCTCAGGCGTTAAATAAAATTAGCTTATCTTTCCTTTTTTGGTTTAAGCAAGTTGTTAAGACAGTCAGAAAATGCTGATTAGAGACATAGGCAAAGTTGTGTTTTCCGGAAAATACATTTTTTACATAACCAAACAACCAAACCGCCTATTTTCACGCCTCTCCCCATTATTATTATTTTCTTCCTGTTGTTCCAATTCTTTTTGTTGTTCTTTTCGCCGCTTTTCCTTTTCTTTAGCTTCTTTTTCCAACCTCCTCCTTTCTTTTGAGCTGATTAGAGGGATTTTTCCTTTGCCTCCACTTCCTCCAGGTTTTAATGGTTCCCTGTTGAAATTAAAATATTAGTATGTTACTGTAATCTCTCTAATAGAAAGACCCTCTCTAATAAGGGGAGGGGCATCTATAGGCTAAAATGAGACGAGTTTCTAGTCCGAAGGGGACATTCGCGGGCTTCGAGGGGAACCTAGTAGGGGAGCCTAGGCTAAAGGAAACCTCTCCAGTCCGAAGGGAACATTCCTAGCTAGAAGGGAATCTCTCCAATTCTTAGTCCTAAAAGGAACATTCTTAGTCTCGAAGGGAGGAAATAATCATAGATCAAGGGGAACAAGTAGCCTTTTTATTAGAGAGAGAATTCAATAAATTCAACAAGACAACCTTGAGGCCTCCCGTAAGTTTTTTGAATAATGACCTCCTCTCCTTGGAAATTGGGGCCGGCCAGTGCCAATGCCTCGCGGGGTCTCTCCCGGCGCAAAAGGGGTGGAAGTTGCGAATTTGCTGCCTTTTTCTTAAAAATTAGTAATTAAGTAATTTTGTTAGAATGTTTAAGTGTTAATAATTTTTTGAAAAAAAAGTTTTTTTGAAGAGAAGCAACCGGCAGACCCCAATGGAACCGATAATGAATAATCCTTCTGATTTATAGTCCCAGATATATTTATGCCACCGTAGTAGTAGGGACCGAGTTCCTAGTCCGAAGGGAACATTCCTAGTCCGAAGGGAACATTCATTGTCCGAAGAGAATGGAGGGTTAGGGAGAGAATAATAAGTTGAAGCCCTCGGCCCTCGGATTTTTCTCAAATTATAAGTCTAGTATACCCCTTAACAACATTCCCAAAAATTTAATTTCCTAATTTTAAATAATTTGATTTTACCAGGAGGTTTAGAATTAGTAGAACTATCAGAAGAGTCGGTATATCTGTGTTGAGGAGAAATAAAAGGCATTGTACTTTCTGGCGATTCTCCAGTCTCCAAAGGCGAGTAATACTCGGAAGGACTTGGAGCCAATCCATCACCTTCTTCTGGATCGAGTTTCCAACCAATTTGTTCTTTTGGCTGTAAATTTAAATGTGATTTTAATAAAAAATTTTTCTAGGGGTTGGAAATTAAAAAAAATTTTTTCGTAGGGGGTAGAAATTTTTTGAAAATTTTTTTTGAGAATTTTTTTCACCTTTTGTCCATTAAAATCACCATCTCCTACACTGTCACCTCTAGGATGCGTATTATTAGAATAATGTGCTGCCCTTCTATCTAACCAACGTCTGAACAAGGCGATACAAAAGGCTGGAAATTGTAAAAATTTTTTGAAAATTTCTCGAGCCGAGAATGGCCACTCAGACTAATAATGTTCCTCTCGAAACTAGAGATATTTCCTCTTAAACTTGGTGTTGTTCTCTCCAAGCTATGAATGTTCCATGCGGATTAGGATGCCCCTTTCGAACCTGGGATGTGTTCCCTTCACACTATATATGCCCCTTTTCGGTTACCCGACACTTGCGGAACGACATTTGCGGATCGACAATTGCGGATTGAATTTTGCGGAACGACATAAGCGGACCCGACATTTGCGGACCGACAGAAGCGGATCGACTTTTACGGACCGACAGATGCGGATTAACATTAGCGGATTCGACATTTGCGGACCTGGTAATTTTTCAAAAAAATAAAAATCCTTTACCCTTGTAAAAGTGCCGTCCTGAATATTGAGATCGCTTTGGGCTTGTGTCTTCGAAAATTTTCAAATTTGAACAAGAAAAAGGTTCTAGTCCCAAAATTGTAGGCTGATTCAACATTTTCACCTGCCAGACCCGGTACCCTGACATTTTCGACACGCAACCCGATCCAAAGAAATATTTGTAAGTCGAAAAAATTTGAAAATCCTTTATTTTTTAAAATCATTAACTGATCCGCAAATGTCGAGTCCGCATATGTTAATCCGCATCTGTCGGTCCGCATTTGTTAATCCGCAAATGTCGGGTCCGCATATGTCGTTCCGCAAAATTCAATCCGCAATTGTCGATCCGCAAATGTCGTTCCGCAAGTGTCGGTACACCCCCTTTTCGAAACTGGGACTTCTTCAAAAATCTTAAGCCCCCAAAAAGATTTTTAGAAAATTCCTCACCACTAGCAACTACTCTACTGCTGTGAGCTTCAATATAATAAAATAACAACAAATTCCCAGTTCGAAAGGTACTAGCAAATTTCCTCATTAACACCAATTCGTTGTCAGTTAAAAATTCATCAGTATTTAACCATTTACGCAAAACCCATCTTCTTCTAGGCTTCTAAAATTAAAATTTAAAAGGTAATTTTCGAAAGTCATACCACCTTAAATTTCATTCGAACAGCCCATTCAATCCAAAAAAAGAGGTTGAGAAGATTAACTATTGTAAGAAATACAAGCATTATCCTAAAAAATGTTATAGATTAGAAGAGGGGATGTTCCTGTTGGATTAGGGATTAGTAAATTCGAACTAGTAATGTTCCCCTCTGACTGTAAATATTTTTCTCGGACTATGAATAACCCCTTCAGATATGAAGATCCCTTCGTATGGATGTTCCCTTCAGATAATGAATGCCCACTTCGAATCATACTATTCGGACTATGAATGCTCCTTTCAGAATAGGAAGGTTCCCTTCGGAATAGGAAGGTTCCCTTCCGACTAGGAGAGTTCCTTTCGGATTATGAATGTTCCCTTCCGACTAGGAAGGTTCCCTTTCGACTAGAGACAGAAGACTTCAGTAAGGACCACTAAAGCTCCTAGCTAATTACCAAATAAAAAGTGCAGTCCTTTCATGCCAATTTGCATCCAAATAACACCGATAAGTAAGAGTATGAGAATTGCCAATAGAAACGAATTGATAGTCACAATAGGTAATTCTAGGAATTAGGGGGACAGCAGGACGACCTCCAAGTTCAGGCGACTGGAAGCCAAAAACTGGGGGTAATGAAACTCCTTGCCAGTCTTTCCGTTCCCACCAAGCTTTGATTACATCCAACCCCCAACTTCGATAATTCGGTCCAATCATAATAGGCAAAACAAACAGTAGAAGACAAACGGGAGCCAAAACCAACGTGAATTCAAAGGCAATAAAAGCTTAAAATGAGGGGGGATTTGAAAGATTTTTAGAAAATTTGGCACCCGAAAAAGCTCGTGAGGATGTAGAACAACGAAAATTTTCCGCAATAACATTTAGCCTGTCATTCAATTTTTCCTCATCAATTTCAATAATTCCGTCATTTTCTACTGTTACACTCTCAGCGGCGTTTACAACGTTGGGAAAGTTTATGCCTTAAATTAGGAAAATAATAATAAAAATAAATATTTGGTGTACCTTGATTGTCCAATAAAAGTGACCAGACAAACCGAGTAATTACATACATAACGAAAACGATGGGAGCCCAGAACCATAAAATCCACTTAATATGAATTATTAGAATAAATAATGCTAGAGGTAATTTTTCCGGAAACATGTATTTACTTCCGGAAAAAGTAATATAATATTTTATTGTAAGTGTTTACTATTTTTCCGGAAATCTATCTGTTATTTACTTCCGGAAAAACATTTCCGGAAAAACAATTTTATTATATTGTATTTTCTAAACATTTCCGGAAAACACATAATAATATGATGTATTTTTAATACTATTATATTCCGGAAAAATACAACAATATGACGTATGTATTTTTAATAATATTACATTCCGGAAAAAATATATTATTCTGGAAAGAACGCGTAATAAAACACATTTAATATTCTTGTATTTTCCGGAAAATACAAAAAATACACTTACTTCCGGATTCTTCACTTGTCTGTCTAACTTCCATTTATAATCATACAAAAGAGGCTCTTCTGGTGCAACATAATACCTCCGCGCAGTCTGGCAATGCCTCTGCGCGTCCTGATCTAATTGTGTTCCTGTGAAGTCATAAATTGAGGCACCCTAGTGGAAATAATTTTTCTAGAAATATAAACATTTAGATACATACTCTACATGTTGATTCCTCTAGGGCAACTTTTGATCTTAAAAATTTTTTTTGTGAAATATAATCAAAATTTAATAGTTGAGGTTAATCCATTAAAGTTCGGACAAGGGGATGTTCCTTCCATAGTAAGGATGTTGCCTAAGCCTAACCAGTACCTCAGACAATAACTTCTACGGACTACAAATGATCTCACGGACTAGAATTTTTCATATGGACTACAAATGCCTCCTTTGGATTAGGAAAGTTTCCTTATGAACTTTCCCTTCGGATTATAAATGTTCCTTTCGCACTATAGATGTTCCCTACGAACTACTATTTGTTTTAGAGAATGTCTCTCCTACAAAATTTTTTAAACGTTTAAAATAGACGTACAATTTAGTAGTCCATAAACAAGCAAAAATTAGAATAGTAAAACCAGGCACAATCCACAAATTTCCCTTATCCATCTTGTCACCAATTCCACCGCTAATTAAAGGTCTTGAAAGTCTCTTCAACTTTCCACCTATATTTTTGGACAATTTCCTGAGGTATGAGGACCCAAGAATGGGCGGGACAGCCATTCTTTTCCTGTCCCCAGTTAACTGAAAAAATAAAAAAATTAGGGTAAAACACGGATTTTGGAAATTAAAAAAAATTTTTTTGTGGAAAAGGTAGGTTTATGAATGAACTAAAAATTGAAAAAAAGGTTGGGTTACAAACAAGGAAAAGTAATTATATAATTGAGTAATATGAGGGCGATTGACTTGAAAATTATTGTAAATTTAAAAAGGAAAACAACAATAGAAAGGTTCAAGTCATTATTACTTTATAAATTTGGGGGACAATAATTTTTTAAAAAAGTTGCTTGGAATAAGGATTAGGGCAAGTTGAAGGAGGATATGCGTGTAGTAATTAATAAAAAATAAAAAGAGCTATACCTAAGTGAGGGGTATTGTGGCATTTTAAAAAGCAGAAGATGGAAGGAAGAGGAAGAGTGAGAGAGTGAGAGTTAAGCTTGAATATTCCTCGAAATATTTAATACCGGAAGTAAACCCCACAGCACCAACGTCCGCAAGGCCAACAGTCCGAGAGGTATACGTAAGTATACCTCAATGAGGGGCTCCGTGGCATTTTAAAAAGCGGAAGATAAAAGGAGGAAATGAGAGAGTAAGAGAATTAAGCTTGAATATTCCTCAAAATAATGCCGGAACTAACCCCCGTAGATGTTCTGACAGGAAGTTGGATAGGATGATATCTTGGACTAGAGAAGATGACTTGGAGGGGTTAGAAGGAGGAGGGGTTAGAGGATTAACGTAAATCAGCGGATTTAAGCACATATACTAATAGAACTCTACGGGAGATTCAAATAGAGGGAAGGTCGAAACGGAGGGGTTAAAAATAGAATCAACTTCCTTTCAAAAGATTTGCGATAACAAATCCTAAACCTAGTTGACCTTCACTTGTGTAATTATCAAAAATATCATTTGTTTATGTAAACATTAAAGGGAAAGATCAAGTTGGAAATCCAAATGATCCGTTGAATAAACAAACACAATAATTCTCTTCAATTCCCTTCAATTCTTCATCATCCCTCCCCCCCCCCCCCTTCCCAATCAAAATTATTATTATTAAAATATCAAGAACGCCCGTAAATACCTTTCCAAAATAAGAATGCCAAAACTCCACTCAATCAAATAATTAATTTAATATTTATTCCCAGTCAATTGCAACAGAAAAATAAGAGGGGGGGGGGGAAGGGAGAATCAATCAGAAGAAGAAAAAAATTATTGAAGAAAAAAATGGGGAAGGAAAAAAATGGAGAAGAGGAAGAAGAAGAATAAAAGTGCCTTGCCGTCCCTATATGGGGGGGGGGGGTATGGGGGGGGGGGGGGGGGGAAAGAAATTGCTTATATTTCTCCCCTAAAAAGTTGGGGGTTTAATCAATTCCCCTCATTATTTACCCTTATCAATCAAGGCACTATTTATGTGAAAGTAAATGTTTTTACTAGAAAAATAGACTAAAAAATAAAAAATGAAGAAAAGATTAGTTTATTAATTTTCTCAGATTATTTTGTGAATTTTTTTGTTGGAAATTTTTTTTTTTAAATTTATTTTAAAACAAGGAGAAATTAGGGAAGGTTACTGACGGTGTCTGAGGAATAGCGGAAGAAACGGCACTGTAAGAAATATGAGACTATGGATAGGCTTGAAGCTCGACAATACGTCCGTCATCTTCAGGATTGAAATGAGCCGAGGTAGTAAAGAGAAAGACGTGGATTGGGCAAACGTATTATAGAGATTCGATTGCAAGAGGATGCCTCACTGTCTTATTCAAAAATAAATTTAAGAAAAAAATTTTTAAGCGGTATTAGACGATACTGTTGGGCTGTGTTATTGGGTCAAGACTTTGAAAGTCCCAAACAGTCACAAAAAACAAGAAAAAACTCTTTGGAGATTGTTTTTATGATAGTTACTAGACTACAAAAAACTAGGGGAAAATTGTATCATAAAAATAAAAATAGCCCAAATCCAGAATTCTAAAACCCCCAAAAAAGGCTGTAAAACAAATTAGGGGGAAAATTAATAATAAAAAATTATTTTTTTAATTGCGGTTAAAAGCGCGAACATTAAAAAAAAACACGCGGTAATTCGCGACAGGCAAAAATACTACTAAAAATAAATGCCCTTCAATGTTGGGAAGGAATAGTTTGAAGGCGGTGAAGACTGAAAAGACTGACAAAATCATCATCTCATCATCGTCGGTCATCCCTTAAATGCCAAAAATGAGCAAGGAGAAGGAGGAGAGGAAAAGTTTGATTGGCGTGCACCTTAATGATCGTTTAATATTACCCACAACGAAATAAAAGTTTACTGACCAATATTATACTAAAGTTTGATAAAAAAATTTTCTCAGAATAAGAGGATTTAAAAAAGGTCTGTCTAATCTATAAGAAGGATTAAAAAATTTATGAAGAAATGAAACACATATTAATTCTTATAAAGTAAAAACACAATTTAATTATGTGTTTTCCGGAAGAAAATGGTAAATAAATATTTGTGTTTTCCGGAAAGTTAAGAATTATATGAATGTATTTTTTCCGGAAAGTATTAAAAATAAATAGGTAATTCTGATTTTTCCGGAAAGGTAAATACATAATTCTGTTGAAATAATTATTTTTGCGGAAAATGCATGTATTTTCTTTATTTCCGGAAAAAGGAAATACAATAAGGAAAACACATTCCGGAAAACTAATCAGAATTTAAATTCTGGTAGTTCCCGAAAGAAAAATACATTTAATTAAATATTAATAATTCTGCTTTTAAAATTAAAAATAATTTAAATTAAATAATTAAGAGGATTAATTAATAATAATTTTTTACAAACTCAATTTCTGATAAGAATAATTAAGAATTAGGTAAATTGGGCAAAAATGATATAATAATAATTTCGTAATTATATTTGTGTTTTAATATTTCTTTTCCGGAAGATGTAGAATTATTAAATCTCAGGAAAACACTTTCAGAATATGTATTTTCTTTCCGGAAAACACATTAATTAATTAATTTGATTTTTCCGGAAAATAAAATATTTTTTATTTTTAATTCCGGAAATTCTTAAAATTATTTGTTCTTTCCGGAAATTTCAGAATCAGAAATATTCAGGTATTTTATTTCAGAAAATCAAATTGTCGATTCTTTCCGGAAGGTTTGTTTTTATTCAATAAAATAAACTGAAACAATTTAGTTATAATGAGAGTGGTTTAAACACATTAAAAAAGGTCGCGCACATTCTAAATGGCCAATTAAAAATGTTTGAGAAAGTGAGGTAATGGGAAAAATCATCAAGACATTAAAAACCCTCCAAAAATATTTCAAAAGAATTTCCAAATGTGTTTTTTGGTAATTTGAGAAGAAAAAAATGAAGGAATTAATTTTTGGAAAGAAAGGGGTGATTAATAGAGACAAAATTAAGTATTAACTGATAAGGAAGGAGAGAGAGAAAATTGGTGGGCTTTTGCTTTAGATGGTTACTCTCATTTAAGAAGCCCTTAAATTTAGGAAAAGAAAATTAAAAAGAAGAATTATCAGATTTTTTTCTTTCCGGAAAAATAAAATGCAAAAAATAATTAATTTTTTGTTTCCGGAAAAATAATAATTTGAATCAGAAGTTAAATGTATTTATCCTTTCGCAAAACCAGAATTATTATTATTTTTAAATTTTGTGTTTTCTTTCCGGAAACCTAAATTCTGGTAGATATTTAATTCTTCCGGAAAATAATTAATAGAACACCAGAATTAATTATTTCTACATATTTCTCTTTCCGGAAAAATCAGAACTTTTTAATTAAATGTATTTTCTTTTCGGAAAAATCAGAATTTTTTAAATAAATGTATTTTCTTTCCGGAAAAATCAGAATTTTTAATTAAATGTATTTTCTTTCCGGAAAAATCAGAACTTTTTAATTAAATGTATTTTCTTTTCGGAAAAATCAGAATTTTTTAATTAAATGTATTTTCTTTCCGGAAAAATCAGAATTTTCTAATTAAATGTATTTTCATTCCGGAAAAATCAGAATTTTTTAATTAAATGTATTTTCCTTCCGGAAAAATCAGAATTTAATTAAATGTATTTTCCTTCCGGAAAAATCAGAATTGTTTAATTAAATGTATTTTCTTTCCTGAAAAATCAGAATTTTCTAATTAAATGTATTTTCATTCCGGAAAAATCAGAATTAATGTTCCCTTCAAACTAGAGATGTCCCCTTTGGACTATAAATGTTAATAATACCTCGAATAATTTCAATAATTAATTAATTAAAATTCTGAAAAAATAAAAAGAGGGGGCAAACCGCTTCAAAACTCTTCTAATTAATTAAATACAAAAGAAAAATTTTTTTCGAATACATATGATCCAGAGTTTAATTTTTCTTCCCTTTCCCTTCCATTTCCACATGTCCTTCCACCCCAAGGAATAAACGCTTCGATTCGATCACCGGCAGTCGACGACAATGTCCTTGTCTTCATTGGATGGCTGACCAATGCTATTTTTTAGCTTCTTGTGTTTAATTTATTCCTTTTTTCATAAACCATCCTTTACCTATGGCCAAACTAACTAGACCTAAAAAATTTTTTTTCTCTCCAATTGATCCTTTCCCACAGTTTTTTTCAACTGTCACACATTTAGCGCGACGAAACATTGTGAATATTTTTTTTTATAAAAATAGTTTAGGGTCAGTTTTTTTCATTCAGTCAGTTAGAAACCACCAATAACTCTTTCATCAGCAGTTAGGATAATATTAATAGTAGAAGCTAGCCTATTTTCTGCCCAGTAGAGATTTAAAAAAGCTTGTGAGTAAAAGTTGGGAAGACATATTGGTATGAAAATGTGTCAAAAAATTAGGCGAAAAAAGGGGAGGAAATTTTGTAAGTGGCCCAACTAAAATTCTGATTTATTTCTAATTCTGGTTTTAAAAATTCTGATTTTTAAAAGTGATTTTATTCTCAAAATTCTGATATTTTTTTTAAAAATTCTGATTTTATAACCCTCACATTTACTCAATAAAATGTTTCATTTCTATTCATATTTACTTTTATAAATAACATTTATTTTCGGTCAGAATAAGGAAACTTCTCCTTCACCCAAATTTTTTTTATAAATGTTAAAAATGAATAGGGCAATAAAGCCGAAATAAATTTTTATAAAATATTTACTTTTTTGGAAGATTTTTTGGGTTATTACCAAAATTGTAGCAAAAAAAGTTATTTAGTGATTCAATTTTTAAATAACAAAATTCCTTCTTTTAATAAAAATAAAAATATATTTTTGTAAAAACAAACTTTAAATTACGAGTTATTTGCTGAAAAAAATTTAAAAATCAGAATTAAAAATCAGAAGAAGCAAAAATTACAATTAAATTAGTTCTATTACAAATCAGAATTTAGAAAATTTAATAAAAAATCAGAATTTTTTAAATACCAGAATTTTACAATTTGTTTTTACAAACTTAAAAAAATCAGAATCTAATTTACAAAAATTGTAAAATCAGAATTAAAGTTTGCTTTTGCGAAAATACATTGTAATTCTGAAAACTTAAGAAAGAAACACATTTAAATTCTGATTGGATAAATGTGTTTTCCGGAAATTTCAGAAAAATACAAGTCAGAAAAATACAAGTATTTTCTTTCCGGAAAATACAAATTAATTAATTTAATTCTTTCCGGAAAATATTTTGTATTTCTCAATTCCGGAAATTCTCTAAAATATTTGTCCTTTCCGGAAACTTCAGAATTATGCAAGTATAGTTAAG